AAATACTTTTCTTTTTTGAGACGGCATTTTCTGTCGTCGCAAAAAGTGACGTTTTCGTGTTTTTTTTTTTTTTTTTGTGAATATTTTTTAAATTTTAAACATTTTTTTTTACATTTTTAGATGCACCTTAATTGAATGTATTTAAAAAGTAAAAAATTTATAAAAAATATTTTAAAAAATTAAAAAATACATAAAATATTATAAAAAAAAAATGTACTGAATTCTCGTATTTTTTTATATTTAGTAAATTTTTTTTAAAAAAATTTCATAATTTTTTTACTTTTTAGGTATATTTATGTTAGCTATATCTAAAAAAAATTTAAAAATTGTTTAAAATATTAAAAAAATTCAATAAAAAAAAAAAAAACACGAAAAACAAGAAAATAAAATTTTTTAAAAAGTATTTTTTTTAAAAAACCTAACTAAGCAAGCTGAACAATACATGAAAATGCAAGTGTGTCTATAGTGAGGTGCAAATAAAAAACACCCCCCGTGTTAGTTATTTTTTCCCCTTCTTTACCTTTCAGTAGTCCCCCCCCCCCCCCAAAAAAAAAACAAAGTCTAAAATTGAAATTGTGCAATATATAATTACAATTAAATTACAACACAGGCGATTATGAGGATCGAGGAACAGCAACTCAAAATTTTGGGCCTGCCTCTGTCACACATATATGGTACAACTAGAAATACAACAAAAGCTATTACTAGAGTTTTAAGTACATTGCTTGCAGATGCTCCTCAACTCTGGCTCTGCCTAAGAAGAGGAAAATGGATGGAGAAGATTGTACCCATCATCATTCAGCTTCACTCTCTTATCTTTTCCTCTTTCTTAACCAAAGTATTCAACTTCTTTTCCAACTGCAAGGCAGAAAAAGGAATCACAATCAGATGGCTAATAAAACCCGGGTGACCAAATGTTTCACAATGACAGTAAGGTTCCGTTTGAATGGATGTAGATGGGGAGTAGAATTATAGAAGAAGATAAGTTGAAATAAAAAAGATGTATTTTCGTAGAATCCTAAATCTTATAATGATTTCAAATAACTACTTTCATATAGTTATTTCAAACCCATCATAATAAAACTATTTAATTCAATATTTAAATTCATAGGTAAACTAGAAAATCTAAATTTAAGTTACTCTCCATGAATAATTTATGTCAAATCCATGTATTTCAAATTCACATCCATCCAAATGAAGCCTAATAGTTTTACTCATAAAAAATTTCATGGTATGAACCGCAGTCCAGAATTCCCTGAATCATTGTACAGGAACCCATTAACAAGCAATACAAATTAGAGAGAAAAATTTGGTGGATTCTCTAGTCAGATTTCCTACACAAGCTCATTCTGTCAAAGAATTCTCAAACTATAAGGCAGACGTCTAAAATTCCTGGGCGCCACAGAAGATGCCAGTAAAGAGAACACAATAAATCTCTGATGGCAGCAAAAATAACACCTGAGCATTTTTCATTTTTCAAAAATAAAAAATAGATACACACCTGAGCATTTTTCATTTTTTGTCTCTGCAATTCTTCAACAAGACTCCCAATGCTGTGATTTGAAAAGTTCCAGTAAGTATCGAAACAATCATTCAGAAGTTCAAATTTATCAACGCTATGCTTGGTTTGAGGATTTGAGAAGAGATTTCACCTAGTTTCACACACACTTTTCCTTTTCCTTTCTAAATCCCTCCCCAAATCCCCCAACCAAACACAGCATAAGTCTCATTTCATACCTTTGCTGCAGTGAATCATCTAGACTGAAGCTCTCTTCCCTAGTAGAACGGAAGGTATCTGCATATTGTCACAAATTCAAGATTACAGAAGAATCATTCAGAGACTGTTGGTCTGAACTCATATTAACTTATTCTAAGGTGGAGTTTGACAATTCTAAAACAGCTGATGCATTTGGTAATTAATAAAAAAGTTACTTTTTAGTTAGTGGGAAAATTTGACTTTTTAAGCTTTTTTTTAGTTGTTTTTTTAGCTGAAGATAAACAGACTTTTGATTTTTGGCATATTTTTAGTCAAAAAACAACTTATTTAGCTGTCAGCCAAAAGGGGCCTAAATACACAAATAAATGAACTATTCTCTGCAAGGAAATAAAAAGCCATGCCATTTGTAGCTGAGACATCCAACAATTGTTAGTCAGTTGAACTTTTCTTGACTAGTAGAGTGTTGTAAATTCATGATAAACAATAATTTATTTCAAAACATAAGATAGCAGCACCATAGTTTCCTGAATGGTATATAACCGTGGTATTAAGAATTCTTTAAATGACCCGCAGTCCATACCAGAGAAAGCTCATTAGTTCCCACCTCAGATAACTCCATGGAATTGCCTATATTAAGAGAGATAAATTAGATCCAACAGAATTATTGCATATAAGATAGAATGGCTAATAAAAATTGATTAAAAGTTGAAAGCAGTACCAGAGGTTTGCTCTGCATATTTGATCAATCTAAGAATTTCTTCCTGTAAACATTGATTAAAAGAGCAATTTACAAACAGCCAGGGTGGAGAACACATAACAGTCAAGATGATTAGCTACATACCCTTTGCATATTGTTTTGCTGCAAAATACATTGCAATGATGGAAGAACAGCAGCAGCTGAAAGGGTAGGGGTTGTTGGACTGGCAGAACCTTCAGAAATTGGATTAAAGAAGCAGTTTGTAGGACCCTGAATGTGATAAAAAAAAAAAGGCAATGGTTACAAAGCCATTGCCTAAAAGATAAATTACTAAGTTCCATAAAAACAGTCAAGACAAACATTAAATAAATAAATCATAAATAGCAAAGCATTCTTTCAGCAGCATTGTTGCTGTGAGAAGGGAACCCATCCAACACCACAAACAAAGTTAAGAATTGCAAGCCATTTCCTTCTTGCCAGTTTGATGAAACCTCCATATTATATGATATGCCAGTGGAAGCAAATGCTTATCTTTAATATTTTTTAATGCTACATTAATTTCCTCAGTTTAGTACTCTGAAGCTTCAACAGCGACCAATAGGGAAAATCAGTATCGGTACCAAACTATATTAATATATCTCTGATATCTCATAAATGCAACAGAAAATATCCCAATACTCTAATTGAGGTAGAACAATTATAGAAATAGAAAAAAGGACCTCCCACAAATCACAGCATGCTGCAGCACAAACGCTGCAGCTGAAGCCCCTGAATAACAATTCCAGGTGGCAACAATAATTATTAAATGGACTGAATACATATTTTTATCACAATGGCAAAGAAGTTTCACATGCATTCATCAATGGAATAGCTGTTGCAGTAGTCAGATACTGAAATGGAATGAGCTGACGTACCCTTTGACTAGTATGATAACATAAGAATGCAATATACCTTAGGGCTCAGCTCTGCTGAAGTGACTTTAAAGCGCCCCTTACGTTGGACAACTGCTCCTTCTGATGTGTCCTCTGCTGCATAAACAGATGCCACAATAGGAAAACAGATTTGTTATAAGTCATAAACAATAAAACATCACACCATTAAAATGAGGTAAATCAAGTAACAATGAAAGGATTACCAGATGAATGGTTATTGATGTCTTTCTTCTGACGATATGGTAATGGACCACTATAATTCCGATCTGATGGATATCTTGGTTGTACAAATTCCCTTCAAATATGTAGAAGTAACCCATTTAGGAGTTGGAAAAAAACTCGAAATCTAACTCCAGGAAAGCACAAATTTACCTGTCCCCATCGCCGCCAACTCTTTTGGGATAAAGAACACTATCATGCATTTGTGCTTTCACATTTTTTTTCCTACAAGGAACTACAGCTGATGGCATAGAGCAGCTCTGTCCCAAATTCTCACCATCATCTGTCCCAGTTTCTTGGTCTTCATCTTTTGGTGATGAATGTAATTGACTAGCATTTTTCCAACTTGGACTACCAGTACCCACATCATCCGCACAGAGATCAAAACAACCTCTGCAATAATGTACATGATTACTTAAACTGATAGACTATTGAAGCACCAAAGAAACTTAAATATTCATTTTGTTCATGCCTAAATTGGTTAAAACAAATTTCTATCCACCTACATTACATGCATTGTCCACACAAGAACATAAATTTACATGCCACAAAACATGGACAATTTTTAAAATGTAAATTACCATTGGTGCACCCATTATGGTATGGGTGTGGATATGTCCCCTAAATCCCTAGTAAGAAGTGCACCAACAAGTGCATGATACTTGCAAATTCAAAATTTATTAAATGATCTTATAGAAAATTTTCTTAGTATTTTAAATAATTGCTTCAAGCACATGATAAACCCACGTTGCATAATAAACCCACCGTTTTCACTAAAAAGGTAATGCAAAATATCAGATAATTTGAATACTTGGCTGTGCAATTTGAGCATTAAGTAAATCCTGTACCTAGAAGCACACCTACACCCAAAACTTGTAAACAACATGGTTTAGACATACATGCAACATGCATACACAAATTGATATGCATACATGAACACCGACAGCCATTTATCTGTGTGTATTCATATGATACTAGCAGCGGGGCAAACGCTGTGTTTGCCAGATGAGTTCAAGTTGAAAGCAGTTTAGAGCAGTTTGAAAATGGTTTAGAGTTGCTGGATGTGAAATTTACAATTAACAATTTGAGGGGCATTCTTGGAAAATGAAAAATAAAATTGATTAAGTTTCATCTTCTGTACCGTGTGTTTTTAATAAAAGGATAGATGTAAGACATAGTATTCATTATAAATTAATAAATAAATGGATACCTGCAGTAAATAACAGAAAATATAAATTGGATTGAGTGCAATGAAATTTTAGTAAAACAAATATTTTTAATGGATGCCAATTCAAGTTTCTGAGACTAACAAAGATCTAAAAAAAGGGATTTGTTCTCAGATAAGGAACTCGAGAATAAAAAATAAAAAAAATCATACTTGAGTGCCTTAAGAGGTTGAATAGGAAATGCAGCAAGTGAGCTCTCCAAATCATGAATGTTATTGAGACCATCCTGAAACAATGAAATATGGACATCAGACATCAGAAACAATGACTGACTTCCAATTTGAAAGGATTAAATAAAGAACAGAGTTACAGTGACAGAAGTGCAACAGAGGTATATTGCCAAAATTGCAACAGAGGTACAGTGCCAAAAAGAAAAACTATAGAGGCGTCAGTTTACAGAAGGTAGAATGATACATCCGGTTGAGGTGCAGCATCTGACTGATTAGCCTTCTCAGGAGACAGCCTTTCTGCTGGATAACCAACATCATCATGATTGTCCCTTTGCTTCACACTCAAATTTAGGTCTTCAGTGTTTGTAGCACCATCATAATCCTGAATCTGCAAGCAACATAGTGCAGGTGAAAGAGTGAAAACCAATGCAAATGCTTCTCAGAAATTAAACCATTTCCCCTACTGTTTATGGAACCAACTACATACAAGGGCAGCCTGATTCTTCAAATCTTCCAGATTAAAATTCCAGGCACTGATTCCTCGGATATATTCTTGCTGCAAGAAAATCAAAGCTCAGTTTCAAACCTGAATGATATCCAACAACAAGCACGCTTCCTTACCTAGGTAGGAAGGAGTTTTGTTTTCACTCACACACAATTCATGTATTGAAATGAAAGAGCACTCAATGTTTTCAACATAATAGCAAAATCATGATGTAGTCAATGACAGTAGTTGCAAGTATTCAGACTCTATGATGGTTTCAAAGCTTATAAGTCAATTTCACAAGGTATAGATCTGGGCTCATTGATACCGTACAATATAATCCCAAACACCATTTTTAGTTGCGTGTCACTAATGGGCAGTTTTTTTTTTAATAATACAAGTGTGTGAAATCCACTGAGCCAAGGGATACCTAGTGTGCTTTTCCACAGGGCTCAAGATAATTGAGAAAAGAAAATGCATGTTTCAAATCAAGATGATGTGTACACAAAATGACCACTGCACAATTTAAGACATACATATGTTTCTGCTCTCATATGGAACCAACTGTGTCATGGAGGACTGCAGGACCCACACATTTTTGTCTTCTCAACCAATTGTTACATGTTCATGAAGATGAGAAAAAGAGTATCACATTTTAACACCTACAAGTACATACCACTAGTTGTTAGCTTGAGCAGTATCGCTGCCACCCCCCCCAAGGGTGAGGTGAGGTGCAGGGTTCAAGTACTAATCAGGATACTGTTGTGTGTGCCTCCAGTATATCAAGTCCAGCTTGGGACCAGTATTAGATTTATGTTGCACATTCCAAAATGTGATGTACTTTTGTTTCAAAAATAGAAAATTTAGCTATTCAAAGCGATCCCAAATTTTTTTTTCCTACTTATTTAAGTTATTTCATAAATGGTTTCTTTAAGAGGAAATAATAAAATATAATGAACATCATCTAGGGAGAGTTGAGTTTCAAAAGAATAAAATATGTACTTATTTAAGCTATTTCATAAAGGGTTTCTCCTAAAAACATGTTTTTATATTATCAATTTTTTAAATATGTCCATATTGTATTTTATTGCATGTGTAATCAGGATAAGAAAATAACTAATGTCCAATCGTTAAAAGAAAACTGCTCTTTAAGTATATTTAATTCTAATAGTGTAATCTATAAGTTTACGGTCTACCCCTACCGTACCACATTTTTTTACTATGGCATACCACATACCACCTTCTCGTTCCAAACACCGGAACAATCTACGTTACAGGTAACATAGCTAGAGTGTATGCCCTACTATCAACAAGAGAGAGAGAGAGAGAGAGGATGGAGGGAGGGAGGGAGGGAGGAAGGCCCAAAATAAATATCGGAAGGATCAATACACTAGCACTCATAACAAGATCCTATACACTTTTGTCTTACTCCAAAAGTTTATAAGTTGTGCAGCATTTACCTGTGATAACTGATCCTTGTCCCCATATAAAGCCTTGTTCTGTACAAGAAAATCTGCTTCTTTTGCCTGGGGGAAAAAAAAAAAAAAAGCAAATCAAATTTGAGATAAGTCAGAAAGACAATTATGCAATATCTTCAACAGATTTCACTAACTGGAAACAAACAGTTTGGTCGAGCAAGAGACCTTCAGCATCCTAAATCGATCACCCAGTGGCCTAAGGCCATCAAGTATAGTACGAGCCAAATAATCATATGACCGTGCCTGTTTGAAGAAATGGTGCTTGAAAAGCTTATCCGAGGAGGGACGTTTCTTTGGATCCTTCACCAAGCAAGCAGCTACCATCTCTTTGAAAGACTGCAAAGAACCAGATCTCAGAACGATATTCAAGAACCTGAAAGAAATTCTGAATGGGACAAACCTTCGAAAATCTCTTGTCCCTCTCATAGTCAAGACCCGGTGGTGCGTTTTGTAGTGTCATTAGCAGAACCTACAATTAAAGCAAGAAAAAGGGAGAAGGTCATTGCACATATATTTTCCCAAACAGGAATCACAGTTTATTACCAGAATGCTCACACTAAGAGAAATATTGAATTTACCTTCATAGGTGGATACTTAGAAAATGGGGCATGGCCATGAGCAAGTTCAAGTGCTGTTATTCCAAATGACCAGATGTCTGCTCTGTTAACACAAAACAAATCTTAAAGAACTTAAAAGTCAACAGAAAACGGCATTAGCATAATGTTCCAAAAAATAGAAGGACGAGAGAGGAGGAGGAATAGATCAGATAAATCACCCACTCACTTAAAGTCATATCCATGCAGCTGCTGCATAACCTCTGGAGCCATCCTTAAAAAAGCAAAAACAAAAAATAATTGCAAAAATTGACAAACAATATGCTCAAGCCAATAATGCAAATCTGTTCACCATGAATACATTGATAACAGATGATAGGACATCACTCAGCGGAACAGTGAAGGCCTGAGGGAAAACTATACCAGCATGGTGTTCCAACAAAAGTGTTTCTCGAGCGTTGCCTATCCCCAGTATCAAACATGCATGCAGATACCCCGAAGTCTGCTAACTTGACTGCACCATTAGAATCGATTAATATATTGCCTGCCTGCAAAGAATAGATCAGCAGAGTGACTAAGAATAATAGCAAGCAGCATTGCCAAATGAAACATGCAGGACAAGCTAATTGTCTTGAGAATAAAGGAAGGGAAGGGACATTTTCCCAACCAAAATAATACATTCAAATTATAAAAAAGAGACAAATGATTTATTTCTTCAAGAAAGACGAATGATTAGACTCCATCACTTCAAAAGTTACCAGCACTCAAAATACTTGCCATAAGACATTCTATTTCCAATATACTTCATTTAGTTGTGCATGTTCTAGCATTAGTGGCCATATTTTCAGTTAAACCTAATTCATTTACTGTGAGAGCAAAATCAACAAACTAGAGAACCAAGAGGGGCACTTACCTTCACATCTCTATGGATATGCCCATGGGCGTGAAGATAGACGAGAGCTTTGAGAACCTCACGTAACAAAGTGGAAATAACAGGCTCTTCAAAACCGTCTGGATAAGCAGATTTCATTATATGAAGGCATGACCCACCAGCCATATATGGCATCACAACCCAGAGGTTCTGGCCTGCGGTGAACGAGCAATGAGCCCGTAATAAATTTGGATGATCGATCAAGCTCATCATTTGTACCTCTCGACGGATACCATCCTGAGCAGTTAACAAAGAAAAACCATCTGATGACAATTGCAGTACCATGTTTTAAACTGAACCCTTAAATATGTTCAACAGTTCAGACAGAAATCAGTGGAACAGAAATATACTTGTGCCCAAGGCATAATATAGAGATATATGGTGAATTGTCCAAGCCACACCCGCGTAAACAAGCAACGGAGCAAGAGAAGCATTATCTAATTCTAAATGATGGAGAAACCTCCCTTCAGGTAGAAACACTCATGCAAAATACAATCACATGACATGACCAACCAACAGTGCTTGGGATATAATCATAGACATAAACAAAGGTACACAGCAATAATGTGATCAATTATTTATTAGAAACAGAATAATATAGCATACTTAATGAAAATAGCTAAGAAAAGAAAAACAGAGGGTGGGGGGGTGGAATTAATAACAAACAAACAGGAGGAAAGACTTATGGAAAATCATTTTCTAATTATTGCTCTCCACTTGTAAACATCAAAATCTTCAGGTCCATATAATATTATCGAACGTCTGAAATATTTCTTGAGGTTCTCAATACACTCATCCAAGGCCTATATTAGGTGAAATGCAAAAGGAAGAGATCACACAATTCACTTACTACCAAGAGCAAAATTGAGTAGCCGCTCAAAGCTCATCATTTCCATAACAAGGATTGAAAAACGTCATCTGATGCCATCATTTATTGAAAGCATCAATACAAAAATCATCTTGACTGAACAATTTCAAAAATTTATTGTCATTAAATTTTAAGAAGAAGGAGAACTTTTGCAAATTTATCAACATGACAAAGTAAAATGGTTAAATTTCTTCTATTAAAAAAAATTTCTATAAAGGCTATTGACAGAAGTATCAGAGGGTGGTTCTGTATCATATTTTATATGCCTTGCGTAAGAAGATTTGAAAATTACTAAAGAGCACCATGTGCACACAAAACAGTATTGAAGATCTTCAAAAATTTCAAGGGGGCCCCTTCCCTCCCTTCCCTCCACCAGTACGTACATAGAAAAGCATACACATAAACGTGATCAATAGATGATCTAAGTAAATGACTCGGCTAGACATAGCAAACAATTGTGTAATAGTACCTGATATGGATTAAAATAAAACAAAACAAAACAAAGTACAGTAGAACCACAGCTAAATGCAATAATAAACTAAATGTGTCAGAATAATATAAATAAAGCAGCTAACATATACCAGATCATTGTTACACTTCTCCAGATCCAGAACCTTGATGGCAACTATCTCATTCAGAGGAATGCAGAGAGCCCGGTGAACGGTGGCGCTGACACCTTCTCCAACTTCTTCATATAATTTGTAACTTTCTGCATTGAGAGGAAATTTTTTCTCTGACACCTGTTCCATGGTTTCCTTTTATACCACAACATTAATACCCTCTTTTCTCCAAAATGTTTGAGAGACAGAGAACACAAATAAAATGTAAAGCAAGGAGGTGAGAGTCTTCAAATTAATGTGAGGTTTCGTCCAATATGATAACATCTTCCTTCTGTTGAATACAAAATCAAATATAACCCCACCAATTTCATTGAGATAATTTTTACCAAACACTTGTAACTTCTTGCTTTTATAACAAACTGAACTCAGCTGATCTATAGAACCCTCCAACAGCACAAGCAGATAAACGATACAAAACTTATGATCCCAATGAAGGAAAGCAAATTATATCTGGCCTCTGATAATCTTGGTTCATTAAGTTGGTCCAGCACCGAGCACCGTCTAACGTATGAACCTTGAAAAACAAATGATTACTTTAATCTGACAAATGCATCAAAATATAAGACAAATCAGAAATTTTGCATCGTCTTGATGCTTTCTCGATAAAGTTGCTTATTTATCCAAAATAAATAAATAAAGACAAAGCAAAAGTGTCCATACAACTTGTGCAATATCCTCACCCTATATTATCAAAGTTTAACAAAAGCTAAGGACCAATATATATATGCCTGGACAAATAAAATGAAAGAAGTAAATAATATTTTATGAAAGAAAAAAAAAATCCATCATCAATTCATATCAGTGGCAATGACTATGATGACTTGAAGTCATGTGATTATTGAAAAAACTCCAGAATTCCAACAATGACATTATCAGACTAAACTGTGTAACAGTCTATGATTCCAAGTGGCTGCAGAAAAGGTCTGTTTAAGAGGCCAACATTAAAGGTTCCACGAATGAAATCCAGACAGATTTTTCAATCATCAAAGCCAACAGATATGCTTCAGCTGCTGCAACCCCAGCAGGGAGCATTTATGAAGCCTCAGCCCACAGCAAATGCAAAAACAAATAAGAAGTGCTATATATCATCAATTTTGGTGACCATTTTATTTTACCAGCATACATGGTAAGGTATGACTGTCCTTATTTTGTCCTCATACAATTTGTTCCAAACACGTAATCAATCACAAACATCCAATTAGGCAATGAGAGAAATAACAAAAATCCAGTGGCATAGATAACTTCAGCTTTACTTATTTTCTTTTTGATGTTTTCTAGATACAAGATCATTTGTGATTTTCATACTCCACTAGTTCACTTCATTAAATATGGAAATGGGAAAATATTTTCAAAGTTTCAAATCAAAAAAATAATACCAAATAGAGAATAAAATTTGAGAAAAACTATTATCAAAAGTGATCCATGGAACTTTATATACATATACTCACAAACTTTGAATTAGCGCCATGGGCACTGTATCCCAACATTGTCTCATGGCTCGATTTCAATATATCAAAACCACAAATCTTTATCATAAAAGTTTTGGTTAAATTCATTCCGATAATAATTCATTGAGAAACACACACAAACACCCTGAAATTGCATTATTTACGCAAATAACTTTAGACAATTTTCTATAATAAAAGTGTCTTTATAAAGTAGAACTTTACAACCAAAATTACTGATGAGAAGAACCTTCTCACCTCGATAACTAATCAGGCAGGTAGACAAGTGATCAGAAAGTATACAATTTGGTTAAAATCAACCATTAATCTACTAGAACACACCAATCATAACAAAGCTATTACATTAGCACGTGAATCAGTGATCCAGATCAGCACATTTAGTTAGCCAAAAGTGATCAATTGACCAACACCACATCCAAATCCACCAAATTATTTAGATGCAATTTTCAAGTTCAGTCTTCATCCAATCGAATTTATCGATAAACACCCAAAATTTCAACTTCAAAAAAATACAAAAATATAGAAACCCTAGCACACAATGAATCAAAAACAAATTTATATAAATTAATATCAGAAACTTCAAATCAATAAGTTTAACAGTTTAGAGAGTACTGACCTAGGGTTTGCGATACGAGGTGAGAGAGAACTCGGAAGAGGACTGAATCTGACTACGTTTGACAAAAGAGAAACCCTTGTTGCAAAACGGCGTCGTCGGAAGATGGAAAATCTTCGACTAGTCCGCCATAGACGATGTGAAAATATTGATTACTTCTTTTTTCTTTTTTTGAACAAATCACTGAATATAGTTCGTCCAACACTTGTCTTCTACTGTTTATTCGATCGAATCTTCACCGTTCATCCACATAACAAAAAGCGAAATATCTACTCTTTTTTTTTTTTTCGTATTTTAATTTTCCTTCGGTTTTCAGACTCTGTTTGGCTGCTGAGAAATATGTACCAAATATGTGGAAAATTGTGATACTACTTACAAATTATTGTGGGGGGCCGCCGGGAAGACGGCGTCGTTTCGGTTGGCAATTGATCAATTGGATGCAGATTAAGCGCAATGATTGCATCACATGACAGTGACCTGTAATTGTCAATCTTCCAATGTGATTAGAGAAATTTTTATGATTTTTTTATTTTATCCGAGGAAGTGTCAACTTGTAATTCTTCTTTTGATTCATCATCAACTTGTAATTCTATTAGATTGAAAAATACAGCTAGGGTTTGGTAGTACAAATAATTTCAAATGATTTTTAATCATTGGTTGAATTTGTAAAATATATTTTGTGTTTTAAAAAAAAAATATATTTGGTGGAAAAATATTTTCATTATTTTAATATAATTATTTTTTAAATATTAGTATTTAATTTTTCAAATTAATTTCTATTTTTTTCTTTCTAATAAAATCTTTTGGGGAAATTGTGCATTGTGATATCCTTCAAAATAGTGACGTTTTAATTTAATTTTTTCAAGCTCATTATATATAATAATATCAAAAAATTCAACAAATAAATTCAAGTATGCATCAAATCCAATATCTAATTATTTAGTGGTACGTCAGATTTGATTCGCTATGATTAATCCAATCAAGAAGAGTAAATCCAATTGCCTCTCACTTGTCTATTCTCAAATAAACAAATATTTTGTTTATACATGAACATGATGAAGCAAGAATCAAAATAAACACCTCTTCGAAGTACTTAAAAAAAGAAAATCAAAATTAACTTATTAGTTTGAAATTATTATTTGTCTCAATTATTTTCCTTAACCAAAAAAAAAAACGCATTGTTTTATATATTATTGGCACTATAAACTTGAAATCTTCTATCGACAGAGGCATATATGTGTGCATAAGAGATTCAAGAGTCAAGAGCATGAAATTAATGGTCTAATAAAGAAGATTGAGAATGTGACACATTGCAGCTTTAGGAAGAATAAGAGCTCCAAGCAGTTGCAGATCATAAGCAGATGTGGGAATCTAGCAGATGGGCACATAGCAACATAACATAGACAGTAAAGTCATATACAAGCTGAAAATTCAAAAAATGAAGGACCTTTAACCAAATTCACAACTCATATGAAAGTTAGGAGTTGTGTAACCTATCTACGAGTAGTTCTTATACTTAGGAGTAGTTTTTCTGTAATCTAGTTCTCATAACCAAGTTTGGCCTTGTCGATTGTAGTGTTATTTGATTCTTGTAGTTAAGACCTCATTTGGAAATTGATTTTTTTAGTAACTTTTTAGTTTTTTTGGTTAAAATATGATTAAAAAAAATAGTATGTTTGAGATGACCTTATATTTTTTTACGAAAAGATGTGTAAAAAGTAAAAAGAAAATGAATTTTTTAATTGTTTTGTATATGTTGTTGATTTTTTGTTTGTTTGTTTATTATTATTATTTTTTTTTTGTGACTTTTTGGCTTTTACTAAAAAGTTATGTTACCTAATGAGGCCTAAGTAACAAGTTTAAGTGTTTTTCAATCGAATTTCAGTTTATTTGTAATTGTTTTTTCACATTACAACCTCCAAAAAAATCATTGAATCTGTTAAAGCATAGGATACCAACCACATTGCTTGATTGTATTGTTGTATGTGAATATTGTTTTTCCTATCGAATCTTCTCTATCGATTTGACCCCAACTAAATTTTTGTAAACACATATCCTTGCTAATTTATAATTGCCAGTACTTATTTATATGATTAGAATTTTCAAAACTATAATTGCAAGTACTTTTTGTCCCTATTTATTTTATTTAATTTTTTCTACATTTCTTTATTTTATCTCTGTTGTAAGCTGAAATTTTTTAAATGAACATGGTTTTGGTGATTATTTATACCAATTATTTTAAAATATTTAGCACCTGCTTACATTTTAACTTATCCTTATTAATTGGGCTATTATAGTATTTTGTCCTGGCCCATGACTATACGGGCTTGGGCCCACTAGTAGTCAATGCCTAAGGAGTTACGAGTGGTAACCCAAAACAGCGAAGCAACCTTCTGACACGCACCGTCTGACATCTGTTTTTTAAGGTAAGCCATTAATTAGGTTATTTTTCAAATTACTATTTTTACTTTGGTAATTAAAAACTCGTAATTAAAAACTCGTATTAGATTGCTAGATTTATAAATACATTAAATTCGAACATAAATTTAAACTTTTTAAGGGATTGTTTGGAGTTTGTTTATTTAGTGGTATTTTGAAAAGTTAGTTAAAAGTGGTATTTTGGCTTTTTTTTGGTCTTTTGCGGTGAAATGATATGATATAAAATTAGTTAAAAGTCAAAAGTTGGCTTTTAACTTGCCAAATGAGCCCTTAGTACATTTTATTTTTTTACAAAAATATATGCAAAAAAATACAAAAGTGATTAACCTAAATAAGTGTACTTATTTAAATTATCTTCAAATAACTCATAAATTTTAAAGTCAAACTTGAATCACTTATCACTTGGCTCCACAAGCTTACTTTACTCTTAAAAAATTAAAAGTTCAATTTTGACTTTTCACTTATTTTTGGTCATATTATCTCTCTAGCTTTTTTATACGTTTTTAAAAACAAAAAACAAAAAAAATCAATTTTTAACCAATTTATCAAAATAACCAATTTCTCAAAACAACTGTAACGCTCCAAATTTTTAGTCCAAATAATAATACAACAATCATGGTTCTTTCAAGAAAAATCGAATATAAATCTCAAAACTTACATTACATGATACAATAGTTCTTCATGTAACAATACATTAATCCAAGAACAAGTAATTAAACAAATAAATACCCCTAAGGGTTTACAAGTTTTCAAGGCTTGAGCCTAGTTACACAAAACAGTTTTTCAAATACATACAAACACAGCCCTTGGCTTACACACAGAGTCACAGCAAAATAAGAGCATTGTACTCCCGACACACATACTTTCACGCCCCTAGTTAAGTGGGATCACCACATCTTTTCCTGCATAAAAATTTCGTAGGGTGAACATAAAGCCCAGTAGGAAATTCTTAACAAAGTATATATATTTTATATAAGTCTCAAGAGATGAAATGCAC